TAGGAAATCTGCGGCCCTGCTGTTAGCACTTTGTCCCTCACTCCCTTTCTGCTTCAGAAAGCTGGGCTGGGTGCAGTGGGCCACCACGAGGGCAAGATCCATACCCCGGTAATTGATTCACACTTTCCTTCTCGGCTCACCTATGCCATGGCCCTCAGAAGATGAGCTAATGTGTGTGCTCCTCTGTGAATTAAAGAGCTTTCGCTCAGCATCTGTCCTCAACCTGGCAGGCGTCAGCACACACATGCCCATAGAGGACACTGGCGAGGAACGTAAGGACGCCTTTGGCCCGAAAGAAAATTAAATAAAACTGTAAGCTGGAGTGGAGGCTGTAAAGCTGTCCCAGTCCTGGCGTCTGTTCCTCCAGGCCCTGCCGATCTTGAGGTGGCCTTCTACCCTGGACCCCCAGAGACCCACCTTCTGTGTTCCCTCCCTTTCACCACTGCCTTCTCAAAGAACCCCTGAAACCAAGGCCAGTTCCTATTACACAGCACAGGAATAGAATTTCCACTGGCCTGCAGTAGAAGTCGTAATCACTCTTGCCCTCCTGAAGCCTCACTCAGTTTGCACTTAAAATCTGTGAGCCTCACAGGAAGGCAGAATTGAGTACAGTGAAGTGGCGGAGGAGGGGGGCAGTTCTGCACTTTAGCTCCCCTCATCCGGAAGCACCAGGCCAGGGCCTAACTCCATCCGCAGTGGGTTAAAATGAAGTTTCTCTCCTACCCAACAGAGTTCATTAGGATGCAGAAAATGCAGTTAACCTTGAAGACTTGAGGTCACAGGCTCAGGCTCGCTTGTTCTTGCTGCCTCAGTCCCTTCACTAAAGAGGAGGCAGAAAAGAAAGGACAGAGCAGGTACTGCAGAGAGGAGCAGGAGCAGGAATCCTTCCAGCCTCATTGCAGAGTGATTCTAGGAGTCATGAATTATTTTGTGTGCCGTATAAAGAGAATAAAGGGTTTTGGTGACATGCACTACTACTTTCAATTATGTGTAGGTACTATTGTGATTCATTAAGCATAAATTTATTTTTAAGCGAGTGCTTAGTGAGTTACTTTGACCCAAAGATTCTCAAGTTTGGCCGCAGAGTGAGGACTGGATGCTCTGCTGAGGCTCACTTGTCCTGAAGATGAATGTTCTCGGGCTCGGAGCTCTGGCTTGGTGACTAAACAGCTCGAGCGCCCGTCAGTATAATCAAGGGCACAGTGCTCCCCACGTAGTAAGCAGCACAGACGTAGCGCCAGGTAACTGCAGGCAAAGCAAGAAGATGGAAGTTGGTGGGGTTTGCCATCCTTCCAAAAGAAGACTGGCTGCACAGAATATTCCAGAAAACCCTGGATGTAGTTGGCTAGGAGAAGACCTCCTAGAACATGGCTGCCATCTAGAAGTACCAAGAAACTCAAGAGGCCAGGAAGCTGTAGAATTCCTAAAACCTTGTCCCCACTAACATATTGATAATGGTCCAGTTGCCTGCAACTTCAACCAGAGGCCACCCCAACAGCCACAAGCATAAGAATCCAGGGAAGGATGGGCTACACCCTTCTGCGGAAAGGGTCTTCTCAGCTACGCCCTGAGTGGATTCTGCCTTTGTGTTTCTGCTAGGAAATTAACCTTCACGGGATTCTGCTGCCATCAGACTGATCTCTTTTCTTACCTCTCCCTTCATTCCCCTCACCCAGGCCCTAGTCTTGGAAGGTGCTTCTTTCCATGAGCCTACACAAGAGCGCTGTAGCTCAGAGCCATGGGTGTGCCAGTGATAAACAGGAATCTGAGCGAACTACGACTTCATGGTGGGCAATGATGCACCAGGTGCTAAGAAACAACCAGAGAAAACCCTTTTGATGGCTATTGGTGAAGGGTTATGCCCTTGTTTCCTAACATGTGCTAGAGAAAAGACATTCTTTATTTCAGTTTTCTTCCTATGAAGCAGAAAGCTCCGAAGTTAGATCTACTGAATTTAGAGTTCTACCAGCTAAGAGTTTGTGGCTGCATTTGAGATGCCACCCCGTGATAATGAGTTGTTTTTGTGGAAGGCAGGATTCTTACTTAAAATCCTTAAGATTTCCATGACATAAATTATAAATTAAAAAAAAAAAGATTTCCATGACAGAAGCACATTTTCCCCATGGCTGTCTCTATCCTGGGCTTCTGATAATGTGGTTGCTGCGTGTGTGGAAGCTTCTTCAGCCGTTAAAACTCAGGCTAACTGATCACAATGTAATAGCCAGCTTGGAGCAAAGTAAAATGTGTAGAGGAAAATAACCACAATACGCAACTGTCTCATGCTATTCCATTTCAGCTGCTCTGAGAGAAATAATAGCACAGGGCCTGCTGTGTGGGACAGAGTTGAACATATTCCCTCTACTCCTAGCGAACATTAAATATGAGTTTAAACTCTTCTGACTCTCTGAGGGTCAGTAAGGAAGTAGTTGACAGGCCCGGCCCAAAGAGACACTAGCTGATGGAGTCCTTTGACTGGTTTGTGGCCCACCGTCCAGAAGGCCCAGTGAGACTCCTAGTGTCTGTTGTGAGAGGAGGTTTTTCCAGCTGGAAGCCAAAGAGCAGGACATAGGGCCACTGCTTTGGGAGCACGTTATATGGGAAATGTGAGGCTACCAGGAGCGGGGAGGGACACTCAGACACTGCCTCAGTTGAGCTCCTCAGTTGAGCTGTCTACCGCCCATCCTGCAGCTTCTAAAAGAATAAGCTTCTTTCAACACTTGCTGAGAGACTTAGCATCCTGCCCTCGTCCTCCTTCAACAGTATATAGCAGTGATGATGACCTTTTAGAGCTTGCCCTAACACAAACAGCCCACTGCAACACATGTGCCATGGGTTTGCCACCACCGGTACAGGATGAGCCAACCAGAGGAAGAGATGAGATGTAAATCTTTAGTGAAGGTCTTAAAAATCTGCCCATTCTTGGAAGGCCAGGCCCTTCCATGATTACCCATGGTTTGGGGCCTTGGCATAGATGAGACCTTTGGAATTTGTAAGACAGCCTCAATTCGAACACAAAGTGAGGTGTGTCATCTGAGCCGAGCTGCATGGACCACTGCGGACAGGTCCAGAGATGGATGCTTCACAGGCTTCAAATGTTTGGAGAATTCCCCACAAGTCATTCTCCTCCCTGCTTATCCTAGGAAGCCAGACAGCTCTCTGAAGCAGAAGGTGTGGCTTGTAAACAGCCTGAAAGACGCATTGTGAAACCTTTCCAACCTCTACCTTAATCTGTTGATTCAAGAATTTATTGAAGAAGTAAACATTGAGTACCCACCTGCACCAGGCGTGTGCTAAGTTCTGGGGAGGGATCATTCCCTCACAGAAATCAATCCTGAAAAGTAAACAAGTAATTACGAAGTGTTGTAAGTGCTGTGAAGGACGTAAAGCCACAGAAGTGCTGCAGAAAGACCCTTCTGCGGAGGGGCGGTGGGCCGAGGCCCCAGGGGTAGGAGTGCCTGGGAGAGCTACAGGAAGAGCATCTGGGTGAGAGAATGTGAATTCACAGAGATAAAGGAGTTGTGGTGTGTCTGGGACCAAAAAGCAGGGGCCAGAATGCAGTGAGGAGGAGCATTTAGATGAGTTCAGAGAGAAGGCAGAAGCCAGGCTATGCGGGGTGTTACCAGCCGTGTCTGGAGTTCGGACTTTATTCTGACAGCAGTGGGAAGGCATGATGGTTAAGCTGAAGTGAGGAGGGTAATTAAAGGTCACTGTGTGTTCACTGCCACATTGTTTGCAATAAATTAGAAACATTTTGCCAGCGCTGAACTGGGTAAAATAACTTCCGGTTCACCTCAGTGTTGTGTAGCAGGTAAAATCTCGAAGGCCCTAGGTCTAGGGATGTAGCTCAGTGGTAGAACATTTTCCTCTTATGGGTGAGCCCTGGGTTCCCTCCTCAGCAAAGCAAAAAAAAAAAAAACAACAACAACAAACTGAGGCACATTTATATGTACTAAGTATAAGGGAAAAAAGAAACAGGATGGGTGTGATCCTCATTGCTGAAAGAAAAATTACAAATTTTTAAAATTTCTGTTAATATGTGTTTGCAGTACATAATGAGTACATTCATCATGAAAGCTGGTACATGTACATAACACACCTTAATTCTCTTTTTAGAAACAATGTATGTGTAGTCTTGCCTGTGTATAAAATGGATGCGCAGGAAGCTGGCAGCAGATTGCTTCTGAGGAGAGGAACTGGGACCACAGGGAGACTAGAATAGAAGGGAGACTGGCTCTCACTGTGCATGCTTTGGTGCACTGGGATAGCTTACAGTGGGTCTGTATTACTCACCCAGCAAAGACGTTATATCTAAATTGTAATCACGCTTGTTGCCGCATGGAGAACGGACTGAGGAGGATAAGAACAGGAGCAGAGAACTCACGGCAAGGACTCACTGGCAGTGGTCCGTTTGAAAGGTGCTGGTGGCCTGACCTGTGGAGTTGGTGATGGGAATGAAAAACGTGAACAAATCCAAGATTGTGTGTGTGCGTGTGTGTTTTACCGGGGATTATACCCGGTGCCTTTAACCTATAGCTCCCCTGGGTTTTTTTGGTTTTTTTTTTTTTTTTGAGAGACAGAGTCTCACCAGGTCCCTAAGCTGCCCACAGTGGACCCAAATTTGGCACTAAGGCGTGTGCCACCATACCTAGCAAGAGTGTGTGTGTTAGGGGAAAGCTCACTGGATATGCTGTGATTACTACTATATTCCACACGGACATTCCCTTGTCCCACTGGTTTAAGAAAGGTTTGTACCTTAGAGATTGGATCTGACTTAGCGGACTCAACTCTGAATTCCCTGACATATCTGTGGGTTGCTGGGCTCTTTCCAGCTAAAAGCCTCAGAAGGCGGAGTATGTCTGATGTGTCACAATACAGGGGACACAGTTATGGGCATGTGCCCCCTTCACCCCCACAGCTATAAACAATCTCTAATGATCACAAAAACAAAATCACAGTGAGAAAGACCGCCAGTTTCTCAATGGAGCTTGCTTTCTTTGCAGAGAGATGCCAAGGGCCAGTACCTGTTTGACCTTCTTTGCCACCACCTGAACCTTCTTGAGAAAGACTACTTTGGCATACGCTTCGTGGACCCAGATAAGCAGCGGGTAAGTCAAAAGTCAAAGCACTAAGGGAGTCCAGGCTTAGTCAATAAGCCTGAAGCCTTGAACCGTCATATTCCCAGTTAACCTCAGGAGTCAGGCACCAGCCAGACCGTGTAGTTCAGTGTCATCACTATGAATCTCAGCACTAGACACTTTAGCTACAGCTCACACAGAGACAACTGCCCTGTTAAGGATGTAGAAATGGCAGCCTAGGGGCTGGGGATTTAGCTCAGCGGCAAAAGCGCCTGCCTGGCAAGCGCAAGGTCGTGAGTTCGGTTCCCGGTACCGGAGAAAAACAAAAAAAAAAAAAAAAGAAATGGCAGCCTAGGGAGCACAAGGGATTTGCCCAAAGTTGGAGTTGTAGGCTTAAGAGAGAGGCTACCACTGGGTCTTGAACCCAGAGTATAAGGCGAGCCTCTCCTGCCGCCTTTCTAGTGAAGGAGCTTAGTTAACCTCATTGTTCCAGGAACTGAGGTGCCACCCCTATCTCAGCAGAACAGAGGAAGCCACACTGACACAGGCCCTTCAGCACCCTGCAAATCCTGTGATTCTTACGCTGCTCTACACAACAGACAGGAACAAGTCCACATTGTCCGTTCCCTGCTTCATCTCAGCTCTGCCTCCCCGTCGGCTCCTCCGTGCCCTGGCCCACCCAGGCGGACAGCTCTCCAACACACGGGCCTTCTTCCTTCTCAGCACCTTCACTTCTGTAGTTCTCTTGCCTGGAACTCGCTTTTCTGTCTCACTTGGCACTGCACACCTTTCTGGCGAGCTCCTTTTCACGTTTAAGGTCTTACCTGAAGCATTTACCTCCTTCAGGAATCTTCCCTCATCTTACTCTGTAGTAGGGGCCCGCCTCTGCAACTCCCATGTCTCTGATACGCTGCCCTGGTACTTCTCCTACCACGCTGTGCCCCCCTGTGCTCCCCGCCAAGCGGTAAGTTCCACAAGGGTGTGGACTCGGTCTCATTCAGCGCCATCTCCCACGTAACTAGCACAGGACCCAGCATGTAGCTGATGTTCAATAAGCATTTGCGAAGGAATAAATGACTAAGTTAGTGGTTTATAGTGCCTTATTTCTCACTTCCTTCTGACTGGCTTGCAGACACCTGCAGATTCTGTAATTTTAGTTCATTCTCCCTTTTCAGTCTGTGACTTTGGGATCTCCCTTGAAGCAGGAAATTTGCAGATGCATTCAGGGCACTGTGACTCAGTTCTCTATACCTCTGCTTGCTCATCTGCCACTCTCTGGAAGTCTTAGCATCATGTACTCTAGTGGTCCTTCCTTTCCCAGGTTCAGGGTTTTCCTGAAAGCCCCAAACATGTCTCTGTTGTCACTGGGGCCTTTGGGCCTAGAGGGCTCAGCGTTGTAGCACGGCCTGGCGTCACAGGTGTGCCCCTTACCATGTCAGAGTGAAGAGCTGCTTATCCTACAGTGCTCTGACCCACTTGGCATTCCAGGGCCATCTAGGCCTGTGTACCAAACAGTGAGCTTTAGGAGAGATTCCAAAGGACCATATCCTTTTCCTTGGACTAGCCCTCCCCGCTACTTTCCATGGACATATTTGTTTCTCCTAGCCCAGCAGAGCTTTGAGCAGCATCAGTGCTTCGGAAATAGTAATCTCTTTAGAAAGCCTCCACTCTATTGACATAATCTGCTGTAGCAGTCAGTGCTTACTAGAGAAACAGATCTAATACAAGATATACAAATTCATAAGAATTTACAAGACTGACTGACAGTGGCCTCCCACAGAGTCAGATGTGGAGGAGCGCAAAAAGTCTTTCTGCGCACTGGGGACCCAAAGGATCCAGTCGAAGGCCTGGAGCTCAGTGCAGTGTCCCATGTGAGTCTGTATGCGGAGGCCGAAAGGTCTGCGATGGGAGGCCGAAGAGTCTGTGCTGTAGGCTGAAGGGTTTGCACTGGAAGCCAGGAGATGCCCTCCCAGGTGAAGGTGAAGACTGGAGCTCCTTTGAAGAAACAGAAACAAGCTTTCCTTCTTCATTTCCCTTTTGTACCATTCTGGCAACAGCCCTCGCTAGGGTGGGTCTTCCACATCCAGGACTATGCTGAGCCAGTTTAGTCGGGTGTTTCTTACTGATGTTGCCACAGTAACTATCACATCTACTTAGGTCTGAACCTCAGTTCAAGGCCACAGCTACTTTCATACCAGAAAGCTCTATATCCTCCCCTGCTCTAGGTGCCCATTCCCTATAAAATAGGGGGAGGTGGTTTCACAAAGGGAATGTGGATGTCTCCTCTGAACTTTCCTTACCAAGATTACCCCAAGATCTTCTCATCTCCAGAGGTGGCAGTGTATGAGGAAAAAAAGTTAAGCGTGTCCTGTTGACTAATTTTTAGTTCATTCAGACTGTGTGTGAGAATAAGAACACCTGTGAGAGTGATAAAGGTTAAAAGGAAAAGGAGCTAGAGGGAGAAAGACTTGAGTAAGAGGAAAAATAGACATTTGTGGAGTGCCTGCTGTGTGGCATGCTCTGCAGGGAGCACAGGCCAGCCTCCTCGGGCTGCTGTCTATTGTCTGGCCTAAGCTAAGAGCTTCACGTATGTTCTTCATGTAACCCTTAAGACCAACAAGATGAATATCCATAGTTATAATAGCCATCTCCAAGTGAGTAAACAAAGTTTCAGCCAAGTTAGTTAGCTTGCCTAACCAAGGTAAATGTCAGAACCATTCTTACGCTGGTCCTGACTCCAGAGTCTGTCTGGTTTCGAACATTGCATGCTAAAGTCACACCTGATAGCCTCAGAGCTGAGGCTTGAGATACTGTTGGAGGTTTGTAGGGAAATGGAGCTGTAAAGAGCTGTCCTACAGCCACTGATCCATGGCGTTGATAGAGGAGGTGAGCTCCCCATTTCCCCTCCTCCCCTGGGCTCTGAGTGGGAACCCAGCATTGCATCCATCTGCACATCGCACTTGCTCTGCAGGTGCCTTCAAATGTCTGGGACTCTCCCAGAGAAGCTGCTATAACCCCTCCTCAGTTCTGACTCAGACCTGGGCCTCTCCTCCTTCCAGCCTTCCCTTCTGCCCTTTCAAGTTCCCACAGTCTAAAGGTTGTGCCCCCTTGGCCCATTCACCCAAATATAGGAAGAAACCGTTCGCCCCATGTTAGCAGTTTGCTAGAGATTCTAGGGTCCAGACTTTACCAGAGAGCTGCAAACAGAAACTGTGGCAATCACTGTGTTCTTGGATCCGCTCAAGACTTCTCTCCTAGACCCTTAAAATGCTTTGGACAAACTGATAGCTTTCCGCTTCCTAATCTACTCCAGCTTCCGTCCTTTCTCAAACTCTCACTAACGTACAAACTAGTCTTCTCTCCAGCTGTTGCCGAGGAGAGGGTTTTTGTTTGTTGCTGTTGTTGCTCACCACCACCTACCCTGTGCTGATAATGCATCACACACTCATTCCTCTAATTTCTATCTTTCTCTGTTTATTTCTTTTAATCTATCCGCCTAAAGGCCAGGGGCGTTGTGTTTACTGTGTCCCTGACACTTGTAAAGTCCCCCTCTCTGTACGCAGTTCCGGAATGCTCAGAACAGCCAGCCTCCTCCACCTTCGCAGGCACAGCCTGGATCCCAGGCCGTTTCTGTGCAATTGCATCTCTTGCCTTTTGCTTCTCTGGGAAGTGAAGCCGCGGTGGGCCGTGTAATGTGAGAAGGACCTCTTAGCCACACTGAGTGGCTATAATGAGTTGCCAGCCTCGTGGGAACTTAGATCGGAGGAAGCCAGAGAGCAGACTGTCAGCCCAGATTATCCATGTGGAGCTGACGGAAGAACTGGCTCTTAGTGGGTCCATTAGCTGCATGACCCATGGTCCAGCCCAGAAGGTGAGAGCTGGGAACTGAGGGAAGCCAGGATGCTATCTGCATGGGCTTGGCTGCTTTCCTGCCAGGGGAGGCGTCTGCCCAGACATTACATGAAGTAGAAGTACCAGGAAAGAGGGCGGTGTGGACCAGGTCCCTTTATCCACTGACGTCCCCATGTTGCAGGCACTGGTGACTCTGGTGAATCAGAGAGTTTTAGGGCTTTAAGCAATCAAAGCTCAATAGTAACAGTTTAGCTCTCTGTAGACTGGCAGTTACCTGCTTCATGTAAAAGCAACAGACATCAATAATGAGTTTTATAAAGACCCATGGTAGAACCGAGAGACAGACATAGAATGATCTCATTGCTTCCTTACCCCAAACATAAGTGCCATGGGGGAAATATATTATTATTATGTTCTGCCTCTAAAAATCCAAGGGGAATAGGAACTATCCTACCCATTGGTTGTAGTTAATGATCTAATGAAACTTAGACTTCAAACATCACTTGTATGCCCAGGAATCCAAAGTGTTCTCTAACATAAGAGTTGGAAATCTGTGTTAAAAATGGAAATATGCACCAGCTATCTCTGCCTTGTCTCCATTTATGTAGTTTTTCTTAATACATTCTAAAGTTGCTACGGATGGCCTCTATCCCACTTCTTTGAAAAAAAAAAAAAAATTGGCAAGTAACACGATACACACCACTCAATCTCAGCATTTCCCTGCTTGTGTCTGGAGGGTCTTGGTCCCTACACATCTGTGCAGACATTCGTGCCTATTGGCGTGCCAGATCCGTGGCTCAGAACTCTGGCACCCTGCTTTAGGAGATAGCATTTCCAGGGAAGCCCAGAAATGGCATCTGAAGCTGGAACAGTTCCCCTCTTCACAGCTGACTCTACAGGAAACTTACTTCAGAAAATCATGCCACTCTTTACTCTCTAAATCTATATTGCACAAATTTTCAAGTTGTTTCTACCCTAGGCTACAATCTGCTTAGTTATTTAAATTGGATAAAACAAGTTACATTTGACGTTGCTTCTCATTATGGTTTTCATGGCCCGCGTTCTGTTTCAGCATTGGTTGGAGTTTACAAAGTCTGTGGTGAAGCAACTGAGATGTAAGTATTCTCTGCGAAGAATGACGCTTCCCCGCTAGGGTGAGTGGGACGAAACTTCCCTAAGTACAAAGTCTTGGCCTACATATGCGATGCTCCACTGTTCTGAGTGGGCCCCAAGCCTGGGGGGATTTTCTTCTGGTGGTTGGGAGGCCCAGTTATCCTCTAGGAGAGGTCTCCCCTGATGGGTATCGCTTTTTCTCTGCAGCGCAGCCTCCATTCACCATGTGCTTTCGTGTGAAATTTTACCCAGTAGACCCTGCTGCACTGAAAGAAGAAATCACCAGGTGAGGCTGAAACATACTGCCCCCAGGGCCCCCTGGAGAACAGGAAAAGGGGATTGTAACCTCTTAGATCCTCTGCGTTGGAAGCGCCTGTTTTAGCGAGGAACTCTCTAAACTAGCCTGCCTCCTCTGTTTGTCATATCCATGTGCTTCCTTTGCTCACCCCTCAGTGGAACAACGGGGGCATCATGTGCTTCCTTCCTCCAAGTCTGCATATTTCATGTCTATCTGCTCACTCTCTGAGGGACCGACAGTAACTAATTAATCAAAAACCATTTTTCTCTCACCTGATATATGGCTGCTGCTTTTTTAGAGAGGGCTGTGTTGCTGCTTACTTGGGGGACTGAAAATAGACCTCAGTGACCTAGTGGAGGTACCTAAGAAATGCTGAGGGGTGACAGGCTAGGAAATACTGAGAAGTCTAAATCCAAATGGACAAACTCTGGTGTACTGTTGGAGCAGGTCTGTGATAAATTCTAAGTTGCCGGGATCTGTGTGCTCTGTAAGGGCAGGCAGCCGTGTGGAAGAATCCCGTGTGGCTCAGCGCCCCTCAAGGATGAGAAAGAGCCTCTGTGCCCACGGCCATCCTTCAGGGGAGTCAGTGAACAGGAGCTTCAGGGCTCTCCTGGGGTTTTACATCGGAGCCACATTCACACTGACAGCCTCACTTGGTAGATGCAGCAGCTCTGTGTGACTGGATCCCTTTTCTGGCATAAGCAAGATGTTGATGTGACCTTGCAGTAGGCAGGGCCGTGGATGAAGAGCTGAGACCAGGGAGGCCTAGAGGCAGCACTCCCAGCTCTGAACACCCTTCCAACCTCAGAGGTGGCACAGATGGGAATGAGGCTGTCGTGTGGACTGTTTGTCATCCTGTAAGACTTTGAGATCTGGATCCTGAATTGCTTGCTTAGGAAAATCCCAAAGGAAGAAGAGAAGAAAGAAGGATAAAAGAATATGGGATTTCCATTTCCATTCTGAAGAGCGTGTCACTGGCTTTATACCAGGTGAAAAGAACAGAAGTTTCTCTGAAGGAAACCAGGAGATGCAAGAGGGCAACAAACAGGAGTGAGCAGTGTAAAAAGGCAGAGAAGAAGGAAAAGGGCTTTTTGTCATGGGCTCCAGTGTCAGTTGAAGGCAGTCTTCCTCCGCAGTGTCAGGAAGATCAGGAAGGTTGTTTACTGCGGATGTTCAGTGCAGCGCACACCCACCTACGCTGAAGCACCAAGGACAGTGTGTAGCTAGACCCAACCTCATGGTCCGTACTAGACGGGACTACAAAAGTAAGTGCAGAGCCTTGGCATTACCTTGTAGCAGACAGGGCCACAGCCAGATCTCCCACTTTGCATCTGAAAACCCATCCATAGTAGTGAAGGCCCTCTAGCTTCAGGCAGGCGCATGGGGGCAGACCCACCTTAGAGTTGTTCTGGGGGGGTTTGTTTTGGTTTGGTTTGGGCCCAGTTTATTTATTTGGTTTTTTTATTGGTACATTTTTGATTTACATAAAGAGGATATTCATCATAGGGAATTCATACCTGTACATGATATATCTTGCTTCTTCTTTTTTTCCCATTCCCCTCCCCTCCTTTCAACCCCTTTCCCTATTTACTAAAGCTTTGTTTCCATTTTTTCCGTTTATTCTTTTTTTCTTGCCCTTTCTTTCCTTTTCCACTACCCCCTCCCTTATTCCCTTTCACATTTGAACATTTTCTTCCCATTACCCAATATCTATTATACCTTGGTTGCCCAGAATTGCCTTTGCTATTCTTTATCTATTCTGGGTCCAAATGAATTTTAGGATTGTTTTTTCTAGTTCTGTGAGACATACTGTTGATATTTTGATATCACATTAAATTTGTATAGCAATTTTGGATGTATGGCCATTTTCATTATATTGGTGCTTGCTACCCAAGAACATGGGATATCTTTCCATTTTCTGATATCCTCTTTGATCTCCTTTGTGTGTGTATGTGGAGACAGGGTCTCACTATGTAGTTCAGGCTGGCTTTAAACTCACTACATAATGAAGGCTATCCTTAAAAATCACAGTAACCCTCCTGCTGTTTTGGTCCTTATTTACACTTTTGGTTTCTCATACCAGAGAAAATCTGGTATTTGAACATGTGTGTTGGGTTTATTTCACTCAGGAATATGGTCTCAAGGTGCATCCATTTAGTCTAGTCCTTTATCTGAGGAACCATTGCCAAAAATTTGTTCCTGCACTGTGGGTTCTTTCTTCACTCTGTTGGTAGTTTCTTTTACTACACAAAAGCTTTTTAATAAGATGAGACCCTGGTTGTTAATTTTTTGTGCTATTTCCTGTGCAAGCAGGGTTTAATTCATGAAGTCTTTGCCTATTGCTATGTCTTCAAGAGTTCTGCCTGTTCTATCTTCCAGCAGATTTAGTCTTTCTATTTTAATATTGGATCTTTGATCCATTTCAATTTTAGTT